TTGCGACTGATGACTCGGATTAATGAATGGACTCAACGAGTCGGTGAGGCGACTCGACGAGTCCGCGCTGTTGGCAGAAACCCTAAATCTTTGGGCTCGAGCCATATTTAAATGCACTTATGGCCTTCAATTGCAACTACCTTTCCCATAAGTGAGAACCCTAGCGAGCTTGAGTGTGTAGAGTGAGAGGAAGAGCTATCTTGAGCTTTTTGGTGTGATAGATCTGGACCCTTCTAGGTTCAGAGAGCCGAGAATATGAAACTTTAGTAGAGTAAACCTTGGGGTTCAAAGTTAGGAAGCATTTATGGTATATATACTCTCCTCTTACACATATATATGAAGTATTTTATATAAATTACGTGTTGTGTGTGCATATTATTTGAATACTTATTGTCTATGCTGAATGAACGATTTTATACATGTTTTAAAAGATTTAAACGATATATATATTTTATATCTACAAATATGTTGCGGATGAAACATTTGTAAATGAAATAGTTGGTGTGTGATGAAATAAAATGATGAGAGATAGGTGATGATAGAAAGGTGGTGATAATTAGGTAAATAGATGATGATGAATATGTGATGTAGGATGAAAGGAGATACCATAACCTTAACCAACAATGTGGCGATGTAGTCATCTACCAGAGTATAGATGGCGACCACGGACTATTCTAGACAACCCAGTGGAAACACCAGCAGGCCCATAACATGTAGGTAATGAATTACGAGTTCAGTCGATGTTGTAACTACGTATTCATTTGATGATACTCTAACCCGTTACTATGAATTACGAGTCCAGACGATGTTGTAACTATATATTCATGAGATGTCACAAATTCCGCATGCCAAACCAATGGTCATAATTCACATCAGTGAGAATGGTTCATTTTTTTGTAAAACCAAAATCAGATTGGAAATTTTGATTTTTTATTTTGGAAAATGTCATTGGTTTTTTATTTCGGTTTTGGTTTTTTGTTTTTTTTTTTAAATATATTTTCAGGGTTTTTTTTTTTTATTTCATAGATTTCTTCATCAACAAATGTTGCTACAATTTAACAAAAATAAATAATTTGCTAAAACATAATACAAGAGAATATTTGTTCACATTTAGTCATTGAACTTTTTAGAGGGAAACGAACTTTCGATTTTGTTCATATTTAGTCACTAAACTTTTTTTTCGTTATCTATTTGTCATTGAACTTTTGAAATTGTTCACATTTTACCCTTATGACCGGCAGCAGCCGGTCATAAGGGTAAAATGTGAACAGTTTCAATAGTTCAATGACAAATAGATAACGAAAAAAAATTTAGTAACTAAATGTGACCAAAGTTGAAAGTTCGTTACCCTTTCAAGTCATTATCCCTTTAAATGCGTTGTCAAAAGTACATTTTCCACAATACGTTTTTAAATATATTTTTTCGAAAATATGTTTGTAAATACATTGTAAAAAATACATTTTTAAATGTTTTTGAATATAAGTTTCCAAAAATACATTTTCAAAATACGTTTTTATATAATGAATATGTTTTTAAAGCCGTATTTAAAATGTTTTTTTTTAAACGTATTTTTGTAAATGTATTTAATTAACACATTTAAATTGTATTCGTGAAAACATATTTCAAAATGTATTTTTGACAACTTATTTAAATACATATTTATGTTTATTTTCGTTTTATAATAATAACTAGATGGTATATCAAAGAAAAAGGTTTTTTGGATCCATTGAATAAAAAGATGCTACATTGATGCTTGAAAAAAAAATATGTACGTAAGAAAAGACACTACTAATTTCCTTAAAGTTATACAAAAGAACTTGTTTAATAACAGAAAACACCTCATTTCTCATGACTAGTACTCACCATGAACCATCTTTTGTAAGACATGAACAACAAGCATATCAGAAAGTACAAAAAAGAGGATACTTGTCAACATGTTTGGCTTTTGACATAGGTGTGTTCCCAAAATCAAGCTCACGAGCAATTACTCTTGTTGCAATGTCCTGCAGTTATCATATATAGTGGCTAATCAGTGAAAACTGAAGACAAAAGTAACCATCTCATGGTCATTTTTTCATCTCCAGTATCTCTTTTTAGGTTCCAAATGATATTTATGATTTAACGAAAAGATTTACCTGCCTTTGGGCATAATAACTAGAAGAGAGGGTTGTAACCTTTCACTGCTTGTTGAGTTGTTGACCTTCTAAGATTTCTTGAATGAACATTCAAGCGAATGAAAATGAAAATTGCCAAACATGCTGATGCAAGCCACCATACTTGGTTATGTGCTGATTAAGAAAAATAAATAATTAGTAAATAAATATAGATTTATCATTTATGCATGTAAAAAGTAGGACTATCACCTTATGATCGACCTAAATAATTCCAAACATCCCAAAGACTCGGTCTAAGAATGTCCATGACCTAAAGAAGATTCATAATTTTGTCATTATACTACATAAATATAGGATGTTTTACAAAAAATGGAAAAAAACCACGACAAATTTCAAAGTGAAAAGTCAAATAAGCAACTCTAAGATGACAATATTAGAGTTTTTGGGACTTTGATCATATCGGTGTAACTTAGTGCATTATTTGGGAATTCGGCCTAAAGTATCCTCCTTGTCATAAGGTATGTGTAAATGAGGAAAAATGTCACCACAACAACAAAGATGATTCCTCTTACTATAAGCCGAATTGAAAATTGCATGTATATATTAGAAATAAGACATGATTTGTGTTTTCCATTAAGCCTGTGATTAGAAAAAAAAAAAAAAAAAAAAAAAGTAGTATACCACGTGTTCTTGCAGGAAGGATTTTAGATTCATGCCAAATATAGCCACAATGATACACATAATAAATACAACAAAAAAACATGGAGAAAGTTAGTATGTTTTTATTATTGAAAAGATATCAATCGGTTGTTGGAATAACTTTCTGGCAGTTAACTAAGGTTCCTTTCCCTTTCGTACCTATCAGAAAAAGGAAAAACTAGATTGAAATTGTGAAACAAAAGAAAATAATGATGATTACAACTTAAAATTGTGTCAAATAATTCGAGTCCATTGACATATCCCAAGACCATATAAATCTTGGTTTTACTCGTCAAAACCTGCATAAGAAAAAGTAAGAAAATGTAAGTAATGCAGGTCAAGATTTTCTAAAAAAACATAATTATGATCCTAACAACTTTTCTCTTTCACATTGTGTCCCTTATTTTGGGGTTTTTGCAACACTTTTGATCGATGTTTCAGGTAAAATAACTATTTTGGTCCTAAGGTATAACTGATTTTTGCTATTTTGGTCCCACAAAATAACCATTTTACTTGGAACGGGGATAAAAAAATGTTACAAGATCCTCAAATAAGGACCAATTTTTCAAAAAACAATTATACTTAAGGACTAAAGATGTAATATACTCTAAAAAAATATGAATCTGTATGTATCTTTTCATACCTCACTAGCTTTGACCAAAATGAATGATCCAACTTCTAACTTATTAACTAAGACTTCATGGTACTTTAATTCTGATAAGTTTAGTGATTGTTGGTTGTTGACATCAAGGAAAAGGAAAATTCAGGATATTTTTCTTTTAGTTCCTTGACATCAACTTTTGATTAGCTGGTGAAGTACTCTTCAGTTGTGGTTGTTATATGTATGTGTTTAGTAAAATGGAAAATGAATGGATTTTATGTGAAAAAGAATTGTGAACTGACTAGTCAGTACCAGTATGGGCTAAATTGAACATTGCAAGAAGCAAACCTCCTTCTAATTAGTTTCCCATAAATACATATGCAAATGCTGCAAGAGCCATTAATACATGAATGTTGACTTTTCCACCCGTGATATCAAATAAGGCATCATATGAGGCTGAAACGTGAGATGATGAATGGAAAAGGTTTTATAAAAGATATATAGAGTCAAAATTAAGATGGATAATGAATCAAGATTTAAGATATAGTTTGTTTTTTGTTAGACTAAATAAACTGTATGAATGATACTAAATGACCATTTTACCCTTCCATCAAAAAATAATATCATGATCTTGGTTTAAAAATGCGCCGACTAGGCGCGCTTAAAGCGCTAGGCGCCAATGCGATCGGCAGAAGCGCTTCCGACATAGTTAGGCGATGCGATTCCTTAATGTGCTCGACTCGGGCCGCTTTTAGCGATTTTTTTGTACACGGTAAGCGGCGCTTAAGCGCGACTAAATGGGTGATGGGCTTTAAATTAGATGTGGGCCATTATGTTAAATAAATGAATAAAAAAACTCTTGGAAACCAAGAGTCGCACATCACACGACAAGATTCACAGGCGGCAACAGAAAAAAAAAAACTTCATTCATCTCTTCCAACGGTTTTCTCCAAGAATTCCAAATCTTCATCCATCTTCCAGTGTTCGTTCCAGTCTTCCACTAAACATCAAGGTACTATTCTTTCTTTCATTCTATTCTGATTCTACTCTTATATCAACTCTTAAGTCTTAACTTTTCATTATGCATTCATGAATCCTGATTCATGATCACGAATGTAACAGAAACAAAGTAACAATAACTACTATTATATATTATATAATATATTATTTACTGATGCAAAAAGTGTTATATACAATTATACATCTCTTCTGATCTTTTGTTTCCCCTGTATATAACTTACTTTTTAATGTAACTTACTGTTTAATGTATCATGTTTGTTTCCACTTTCCAGTTACATCTCTTTCATGTTATCACAATTGTAACATACTTTTTAATCTGATGTGCTCTTTCTTCATAATATCATATATGATATATTATATATAAATTATATATAATGATTATGATGTAATCTGTAAATGTATTAAATTAATATTTAATACAAGGTATTAATGCTGTAAATATGTAATTTGTATGAGTATATGTGCTGTTAAATTGTTGTTTGTTAAATAAAGTGACAATTAAGTGTTTTAACTGTTAAACTATTAATTAAGTGTTACTTAACTTTGGTTTTGATACTATTTACAGAATGGTTTTGGATGACCCGGGTAGGAGATATGGTGTTCAAGATCCAAATACTAAAAACAATTTTACGTGCACTTTTTGTGGACAAGTTACAAAAGGAGGAGTATACCGCCTCAAAATACACTTAATTGGTGGTCATAAATACGCAAAGAAATGCCCAAATTTCCCGGAGCATGCTCGAGAAGAATGTAGGGCATACATGCAAAAGAAGGGTGAAATAAAGGCACATCAACATATGGAAGCAAATTTTCGGATGCAACAACAAACTTATGGATATGAGGGCATTGAAAATGAGGAGGAAGATGTTATTGAAGTAGGTGGTAGTAGCAAGATGCCCCCTCCCAAAAAAACAAGAACAAAAGGTCAAATTGATATGTACTATACTCCTAACCCACAAGACGCAATGAAAGGTAAGAAGAAGGATGGGAAACAACAAACCATCAATGAAGTTTGTCGAAAGGACCTTAGAGATAAAGTTTGTCGTCACATTGGGAGATGGTTTTTCGATGCGGGCATTCCTTTCAATCCTGCGACGTATGATAGCTTCAAAATTATGATTGAAGCTATTGGACAATTTGGTCCCGGTTTGAAACCACCATCTATGTATGAGTTAAGAGTACCTATACTGAATAACGAAGTAAAAGATGTTCAAAAATAGATTTTGGAGCATGAAGAAGAATGGGCTGAAAAAGGTTGCTCTATATTATCCGATGATTGGCGCGATTTCGTGGGGCAAAAAGACATCATCAATTTCATGGTGAACTCCCCAAATAGTTCGGTATTCAAGAGGTCACTTGATGTTTTTGATGTTTCAAAAGATGCATATTTGTTGTTCCGTGTTCTTGATAAAATGGTGGAGGAAATTGGTGAAAAGAATGTCGTACAAGTGGTGACCGATAATGCATCAGCGTATGTGAAGGCGGATAAAATTTTTAACTTGCAAACTTAATATCTTATCTTTTATGAAGGCTAATATGTTGTCTAATTTAAACTACTTTTTATGTATGGACTTTGTAGGGAAGTTGTTGGAAGCTAAAAGACCAAATCTATATTTGACACCATCTGCCGCACATTGCCTAGATTTGATGTTGGAAGATATTGGCAAACAAGTTCCAAAGGTGAAAAGTGCATTAAAGAAGTCGATTTTTGCAATTGGGTATATATATAGCCATGTGCCTCTTGTGAACATGATGAGGAAGTTCACAAACCAAAGAAACTTACATAGGCCGGCTATCACAAGATTTGCAACATCTTTCATCACTCTTGCCCAAATCCACAAACAGAGAGCCAATTTGAGGAATATGGTGGTTTCTAAAGAGTGGGAAGCATCTAAGTGGTCTTCAGACGAGAGGGGGTAAAAGTAAAAACCTACTTTATGCAAGACATGTTTTGGAGAAATGTGCATTATGCTCTTAAGTTGACGAGTCCCCTAGTTACGGTTCTTAGGATTGTTGATGGAGAAAAATATCCGGCTATGGGCTTCATTTATGAGGCCATGGATAGGGCTAAGGAGGCCATTCTTGATAGCTTTTCAAGACCAGATGACTACAAGACAGCTTTTAAAATTATAGATCGAAGGTGGGAATGTCAATTACATAGACCTTTGCATGCGGCGGGACACTTCTTGAACCCGGGAATCTTTTATAAAGATGTTAGTGGGGTAGCTTGTGAAGAAGTGGAAAAAGGTTTGTTTGATTGCATTATGAGGCTTGTTCCCGAGCAACAAGTTCAAGACAAGATTTCGGAAGAGTTGGACAAATATCGGAATGCACAAGGACTCTTTGGTAATCCTATGGTTGTTAGACATAGAGAGACAAAATCACCGGGTAAATCCCAACTTATTTTTTTCTTCTAAATTCTAATTTATAATCCGACTTTATGTTTTTGTTTTTGTTTTTATATAGCTGATTGGTGTGGAGCATATGGATCTTCAACTCCTAATCTAAATTTTTTTGCTATAAAGGTTCTTAGCCTCACTTGTAGTGCTACAAGTTGTGATAGAAATTGGAGTGTTTTTCAACATGTAAGTCTTTTTGACATTTTTTTTAGATTTTACAAATTAATCTGTTTTTTACAGGAATTTTTTTTATATAATTTGTTTTTTACAGAAAAAATAATGTTTTACAGAAAAACTTTTTTTTTTCCAGAAAATATGTTTTTTTTTTGTTGGAATTTGTTTATTATTGTTGGAAAATCTGTTTTCTATAGAAATTCTGCTTTGTGTTCTTACTTTCTTTGATTTTCTTACTTGTAGCTTCATACGAAGAAACGAAATAGATTGGCACAAGAGAGATTGAATGACATGGTGTTTGTCAAATTCAATTGGTCCTTGGAGCAACGGGCAAAAGACAAAGAGAACGATCACCTTATCCTACAAGAGATTGATGAAAGCAACGAGTGGTTGATGAGAAGAATGGAAGATGAAACCGATGATGAGGCGGTATTTGTTGGTGAAGATTTAACTTGGAGAGATGTAGCTCATGCCTCCGGTGCTTATGAGCCTAGTTACGAACTAGAGCATCAAGAGTACAAAATGATGGAACCGGAACATCAGACGTTAATAAGGGAAAAACAACCGTTCAACCATCTCATAAACATTTGGTAGATGAAGATACGGAAGAAGATATCGGTGTCTATAGTGATGATGGAGGAGGAGATGGTGTCGTCCAAGTTGACGACGAAGATGATGATAGTTTAGACGATCTCTAGTTATAACTTATTAGTATTTGGGATCTAATATGATACTACTATGAAACTATGATTTTTGGATATTTTAAGTATTTAAAGCTATTTTTAAGTATTTACATATTTTTTTATATATATTTTTAATTCTTGGCGCATCGTGTGTTCTAGGCGAGCGCTTTCGCTTAGCACTTAGCACAACGGCTCCCAAAGGCTTTAGCGCATTAGGGCGCATTACGCTTTTTAAAACCATGGTCATGATATTTATCTATTTTAATGTGAAAATAGTTAGGAGGAAAAAGGAAGGAAAAATAGGTAAAGGGTTGATGTATTAATACATTAAGCAGATCTTTTTGTGTTAACCCATTAAGTCATTATGTATAGACTTAGTACAAAAGAAACAGACATATATATATATATATATATATGGGAAAAGTGAATATGTGGTTGTTATGTATGCAATATTAAGTATAGAACTAGCAATACTCCGTCGTTTTAGTTAAAACTACGTAGTTTATATATATTTTAAACTTTAAAAATGCCTCTTTTCCTATTTTTACTTTCGTTTCTTTTATTTCCATCTTCAAATGTGTTTCCTAATTTTTCTGGACTTTCATTTTACTTTTACGACGTAATCGTTTTCTTATTTCCAGCTTAATTGCCGTCATGACCACTTTTAGTGCTATTAAATCTAAACATTTACTTTTTTTTAAACCCTACTAATGAAGAAAATACATAAACCTCATGGTAATCACTATCACTATAATGAAATACATAAACCTAATGGAAATGAGAAGTCTCGTAATCAATAGTTGGTTACAATATTTAGCTTTTTATTATTTATTGAAATCAATATCTATGTTATTGTTTGAAAAAGAATAATACAAGAACAGCGTCTCCAATTTCTTCATGCAATCTTTTTCATTTTGGTCTATTGTATTTGTATATTTTTATGTTGGAATGAATCTCCGTCAAATATAAAAAAATCGAGCGTGTAATATTGAAATACAAATATTTAAGGAATGTAAATTGAAAATGACTAAATATGAATCCATATTAAATTTTTTTTTTCAAAACTACATAGTTTTGATAGATAGGTTCTATATATAATTTTATATACATGTCAGCCACATATTCACTAATATATATATATATATATATATATATATATATATATATATATATATATATATATATATATATATATATGGAAAAGTGAGTATACCTTACAGCAGGACATAAGCTTACGTACCTAATTGTCAAAACTACGTAGTTTTGATTAATGATTTTATTTGATGAAAAAGAAAAATATTATTTCCTGAAAAAAAAAAAAAAAAACAATACGTTCCAATTTGTTTCCTTATTTTATGGAAATAGATATCGTATCTTCCTTTTTTTTCGATTGCTGTTGTGATCATCATCGTTTGGAAAAAAACGATTACCTCCTTGAAATCGGATTCCATACGACTGAATTGGATTGGATTTTGTCATCATCGTTTTGGAAAAATAGATATCGGCTTTGCTGCTTGAAATCGGGTTCCTAATAAATCACGAAACAAAAAAGGTTCAAGAAATCGAATTGAAGAAACTGCTTCACGAAAATCAACCTCCTTCAAAACTACATATACTCTGTTTAAGGTAAATCTTGAAATCGGATTCCTTGTAAATAAGGACTTGCTTTTTGAAAAAAAAAAAAAAACAATTGCCAATGCGTTGTTGTATGCTGATTTCAGAATTTTGAAGTTGGGATTTCGTTTTTCATGTTTTCAGAATTTTAATCTTGGATATTGTTGTTTCAGGACTTTGAAATTTGTTGCTTAGTCTTATTTGTTTAGAGATTTTGATTAGCGACATTGCTGTTTTTTAGAGCTGGAAATTGCTATTTTTTAAAGCTCCATATTGTTGGTTGTTCTGAGTTTTTAGAAAGGTAAATATCCAATGTACTTGATTTTTGTATATTCTTCGCTCTCATTATGATTATTAATTATAATGATTTAATCTTAACTAATGGTAAATAAAATGTTGTTAATCTATTATTTAGAAACATGGATTGTGGTCTTGTGCAGGTCATAATGGTTGAAACCGAAGCAAATGATCAAGCTATTGAACTACATGTAACTGAAGATATTGACACAAATGATTTTGTAGAAGCAACATGTGAATCTGAAAAAATTAACGATGTTGATGTGAACATTGAGTGTGACGAAGATGAAGTTAGTGATGAAAGTATATTGGGAAAGGTTTTCGATACCGCAGATGATGCATATAACTTTTATAATGATTATGCGTTTTTACATGGATTTGGTATACGTAAAAATGACATATTTAAAAGCTTGAAAACAAATTAGCCTTTTCGGAAGATCTATGTATGCAACAAAGAAGGGTTCAAACGGAGTAAAAAAAAATGATTCAAGTGAAAATGAGACAAAACTTGATAAAATCTAGAACTATAGTTTGTCTTCCTTTCAATGTCATAATTTTCAGCTCCCATTTCAACTGCTTCCATTATAAGATTTAAATTCTTATCTTTAGTACCCTTTTCAGCTTCACTACCGCTCTTTTAATTGTCAGAATACCCTTTATTTAGTTTGTTTTCAGGAGTTTGATGAGAATTTTCACCATCATTTTTGGGTTGTCATCCAACATCATATTTGTGAAATAATGTTTGCTGAAATGGCACTACTGCATTGTTTATAATTATGAGTGGCTATCTTCTGAAATTATTTCTATAATGCTCCATTTCGGTTTTGTAGTTCCTGCCTGGTAAACCTAAAGCAAAAAAAATTTTAAAAAAAAATATCAAGAATCCAATAGGACATAAGTTAACATTACTAGATAAAAATTACAAAAAAAAATTACATCAAAAAAGAGGAGGAACAATGTGTTACTGGGGCCGTTTCAGATTTCTTCCTACCTCTTCCCTAATGTGACTTGATTTTTCAGGGAGCATGACTTTGTTCATTTTGGACATTGAATAGGAGTCCATGCTTTTGCTTCAAAGTAGTAAACTTGTTCAAAATGATGAAGGAGTGACATGTAATACTTGTGCAAGATAAAAAAAGCCACTGTGAAAAGTCATACAGATGGAGAATCTGAACAAGTTACATGTGGACCAAGGGAACAAAGCGTAAATTCACATTTTGAGTGATAACACCCTTTCTCGATAACAACCTACGCTATTTAAGCAATTTTGAGACAAAAGTTCACTGGTGCATTTCATCAAACACCTGGTGATCAGACACTCAATCTAATGAAATAAGTAAAAAAAAAATGGAATCAATCTAATTTAATCTCACCTGATGCGCAGGTGGAACAAATTCTGGTTGGATAAAGAGTAGAATTGATGAATTTGTTGGACAAGCAAGCAACAAGATCGATAAATGTTAAAGAGTACACAAATTCTTGAAATAGTGAGGGGCCCGATTGAAAGATTCTTCGAACTGTAACTAGAAGCCACAGGCAGCTCTTTCTTTATTCAATACTTTGTCAAAGAACTAATTTTAGACCCAGTGTTGAGTCTTTTGCATCATTGCTTACGATGCTGATCAAGAATCGATTTTTAAATGTGGCTGAAAATATCCGGATTTCGATGGTGAAGGCTTGCGAAACAGACGACGATGCGAGGTTTGTTTTGGGGTTTTTTGTGAACCCATTCCTAGGAACCACCATCGTAGACGGGTGAAGATGACGAATATGTTCCTCTTTGAAACTGAGAAATAAAACGAAAACCATGTTTGTGGGGTTAATCAGAAACCCGATGTCTATAAAATAAAAAGATAAAGGAAACGACACAGTATTATATATCGGGTACGTAAGCTTATGTCCTGCTGTAAGGTATACTCACTTTTCCGATATATATATATATATATATATATATATATATATATATATATATATATATATATATATATATATATAAAATTAGATAAATACATATGTGCATAAACATGCACACTCACGAAATTTCATGTAGAAATGTGGTATTTGTTGGCACAGATCCTCAACAAAACACACACAACACACACTATGTGAAATCAATAAATAAAATATAGAACACTCTTATTCATATCAATATATGTTATATATAGCTTCCTAATGCCCACGTGAATTCACATATTCACATGAAACAAACCATACTACTTTCTTACTATAGACCCGTGCAACTCCTTGAATCAGGTCAAAGCAAATACGAATTCAACTAATGACTATTATCTATAACATAAAACAATAATAATTATTAAATCTAAAGTTTCAGCCATGCACGTGAGAATGGCTAACACATCCAATCTATACTAATAAATAAAACTCATTTTCTGCCACATGTCATGTCCTCATTGATTTGGACACATGGCATTTTAATAGATTTTTAAAATTTACTTATTTTCACATGTAATTTTCTGATTTGTTCACATATCACAACTTATTTCGGTTACAATATGAGAGAATTAAATGTTTCCTTGAAAAAGAATTGATATATTTATAATGTAATAAATGTCATAATTAATAAGAGCTCTAAAATTGATATTGATATTAAATATTGATTTTAAATTTAAAGTTTAAATATTGATATTAAATTTTTATTTTTAATAAACCCGTGTAGTACACAGGTCTCATACCTAGTTACTTAATATATAACATACATTCACCTTTGAAACATCAGTAGAAATAAGGCATCTAATGACTAACATAATTATTAGCTTATGACCCTAATGTTCTTTAAAAAAATTCATAAAATCGGAGGGTTTTGGATGTTAACCACTAATGGGATGAAAGTTAAAACGGTAGCAGGTTTTTAGTTGTTGAACACCAACGTCAAGGAATCATACATTAATTCCCTCATGCTCATACATGGCTGCTATTATCCAATATTCAAGCAGTCTTATGTAGTCACAATTCCGTTACCATTTATACAGAGCACGTAAACCATGGTTTTCCCAATGTCTGGAACATATTTTTTTTTCAAAAATTGACCCCGTTTTGACTCTTGATGTTAACGACTTCTAGCGACCTAAAAATCATCCAATAGAGGTAAAAACACAAGACTTATAGAAAAAAGACTATCAAAAGCTAATAAAGAATAGAATTACAGCCATTCTTTGCTAATTTAGTCCACCGTTTGCATATATATCTATGTATCCATTTTTTTCGTTTGCCTCAGGTAGATCTACAGAGAAGCAAGAACAAAAGGTTATATAAGAATGACTGGTAGAAGTTTCATATGAATCTTTTATGCCAACGTCATGAATACTCATGATACAAAATCCGTATAGAGTTATGTATATGTGTAAAGCTTACCTGATATTGCACCAATGCGTTTCTTAGCACGTGGCTTCCAAAAAGTGATAGCTCATTATGGGTTCTCCCATAAAGAATGTGGCTTCTTGACATAATAAAACATACAACTTTGTAGTTAAACGATGGGAAGTTAGCAATTGATAAGAATTTACTACAAATTAAGATTTATCAATAATTATACATATGCACAAAATCCACATATTTACACATATAGATACACAAAAATAGAAACAAAAAAAACACAGAAATATACATAGATCCAAACCTAAAGATAAATACCAACAAATACACATAGATATCCCATAAATAACTTATGTTCATGGAAGGAGTGGATATCTATATAAATTTGTTGGTATTTACCTTCTGAAAGACAATCATCTATTTGGAGGAATTCAAATTCAAAGGCAGCTACGATTTGAAACCGAAAGTTATATTAATAATATTTTTTTGTACATAACATGCAAACAATCCAAACACATAGAAGCACACATACGATACATATCACGTCGCTTGTAAAATTTGATGTCATGACATCAAAAGCAAAATATTCCTTGGTATGAAAATCTCTAGTCTTATAAATTTACTCATCTCATATTAACATGACTAATTTGATATATAGAGTAAGGTGTTTGATTGCAGATTACAAGTATTAAAACATAAGTTGGAATAAAAAAGCAACAACAAAGATTCTGCTACGGTTGAACTGCCACCACAATAGCGTTCTACTTTCTAAGTACAATGGTTTAATAACAAAAAAAAATTGGTAAACTTAAAAAAAAAATAATAAGAAATGAAAATAAAACATATTTGGTTGATATTGGGTAGATTTATTAAAGTGCAATGTTGTTATAATAGGAATATAGATGTAACCTATGGATAAATATTCAGGAGCAACAGTTTGTGACATGTTTAATCTAATAAACCTTAGTAGCATAGCAATGTAGAAGTGAACAAAATTAAAAGTACAAATTTATTCATAACAGAGACAAAATCATAACCGGTGTCATTTTTGGATTGTGATTAAACCTATTAAAAACTCTAACATTTACTTCATCCTTAGCGATTATGTAATAGTTTTTTTTTATTACCATAACAAAATGCAATGTTTTAAAAAATATTTTTAATTTAATACACAGTGAAAAAATATATACAAGTGATAGTAATGTATAAAATATATGATTGTTTTTCACAATATGATATGGTTTGACCTTAAACATATTTTATCAAACCTGAGAGAATATTATTACCAATAAAACCAATGTTCCTAGAAATATACTTGGAAATGTTGAAGAGACAATTATGAAAACTATGTAGCAAAGTGAAGATCTTGAGAATCTTGTTGCGGTGTGTTGAAGTCTTTACACTACAAGAAAACAAAGTATTAGCGGCGACAGCCAGCAATAGCGGCGACACGTAAATGACGCGTTACGTGTCGCCGCTAATGCTTTCATTTAGCGATCCGCGTCATTCTCACCCCAGCCGTCCGATTTGTTTTCAATCTAACGGCTGTTAAGGAAAGCGGAAAGGTGCGCTGAGTTTTCCCTCCGTTTGTCGCCGCTAATGCCCTAATGTCGCCGCTATTGCCCATAATCGCTGCTAATACCCGTCACCGCTAATGCTAAACGCAGATATCCCATTCGCAGCTTACCTTTCTGCCATTCACATCTTACCTTTCACTCGTTTTTCTCTCGTTTTTTCTTCAAAATCACGCAAGTTTTCCAACTTGGTGGACTAGGCATTGCTTCTTGGACCGGTGCTAGCTTCTCCTTCCCTCAAGGCAGCCACAATACCGCCACAACCCAAACCAAGGTCGACATTTAGCCAAAATTCCGAAATTGCCCCAACCAAGGTCGAATTTCTCATCTTTTTTATGATTTTTCTGTTTTAGATGATAAATAGTGAGTATTTTTCAAGTTTGTTGAGTGATTATGTTTGTATTTTGATATATGAATTGGTTATGCATTTTGTTGGATTGTATGTATTTTGTTGGATTGTGTGTTTTTTTCACATTTGTGGGAATTTTATTATGCATTTTGTGTATATTTTGAAATTT